CAGAAAACTGGGCAAATTTTGAAATCGGAGAAACTAGGTGCTTGTAGCGATGATAGTATGAGTTCATTTGATATTGATTGTGATGAATATTTTTTTTTTATTTTACTTATAATACACCAATGTAATTAACTTTACTCTTATTTTGTAGCGTTGCAAAAAATATCGATATAAGCTTTCTGGTACGTGATGCCACATCACTAGAAAATTGTCATGTTGACCTGTCGGGTACTGTACATACTTTTCATTTAAATTGTATATAAGATCGAAGAGTACATCTGCAACTTTGTCTTGCGTGTGTGCACCTTGAGAAAGCCTTTGATTTTGTCGAAATTTGGGCGGTGCTGCAGTCCCTTCAGCGGTGCCAAGTTGACTGTTGGTATATCGATTTGCTGAAGTGTTGTACAGTAGTGTTACATATGTCTATCCGAGTACAGAACCAGTGTACGAAACCTATCCAAGTCTTGGTCTATCGTTATATTCTCGAAACTCTTCAACGCTACATTGGAAGACATTTTCAAGCTACTGGATTGGAAAGGATACGGTATTAACATCAATGGCCAGTACATCACTCATCTTCGATTTGCCAACGATATAGTCCTTATGGCAGAATCACTGGAGGACCTAATAAGCGCTATGCTCAATGACCTCAATAGTGTCTCATGTGAACATGGTCAAAACAAAGATCATGTGTAACGTCTATGTCACATCTATGCCGGTAGTTGTAAAGTATGTTACCTGGAACAAATAGTCTGACTAGGTAAGTGTAATTTCGACCGAGAGGCAAATGAACGGAGTCAACTCGGATGTTCGGAAGATTACGAGACATCTTCCCGTCATATACCTCAAAACTTGAAAACAAAATTGAGTACAACCAGTGCGTGTTGCCAGTGATAACTTATGAATCTGAGATCACAGCTCATATGGCCAGCAAGGAAGGACCACAGTCCTTTAAACAAAGATCATGTGTAATGTCCATGTTACACCTATGCCGGTAGTTCTTGTGAGCACTAAGCTTGAAGTTGTTGAAAAGTATGTTCCCTGGGACAAATAGTCTGACTAGGTAAGTCTAATTTCGACCGAGAGGCAAATCAACGAAGTCAACTCGGCTGGGCAGCATTCGGAAGATTACAAGACATCTTCTTTTCAGGTATACCTCAAAACTTGAAAAGTAAATTGAATACAATCAGTGCGTGTTGCCAGTGATGACTTATGAATCTAAGATCACATCTCATATGGCCAGCAGTGAAGAACCACAGTCCTTTATAAGAGGAAGCTCAAGGTTGCTCAGCGAGCTATGAGAGGGCTTGTAATCTATATTGAAAAAAATATTGTATTCTACCTATTCAAAATAAAAATATAATTCAAAAGCTCATTACTATGGTGCAATGCATCACACCTGTAATTTTTATACTATTTTTCTATAAAGGCCGTTGTAGAGCCATGCTGCAGCTATACGTTATAGTTGTAGTACGAATGGGTCGCCTCGACCGGGGAAGGACCACGTTCTCACAGAATACCAGCGTTAAATAGCAGCTCAACACTGTTATGTTTCGTATGGTGAATATAGAGAACCGGAGACCCTTTTTATTGGAAACAAGGTATTACAAATCATAGTCCTCACGGGAACAATGATGCAGATACGTTGTCACCCATCTGCATTTCGATTTGTAATCGAGGATAGATGCAGATGTCTATGGGGCACAGCATCCACTTACCATCAGGTGGACTGTGTGCTTGTTTGTCACCCGTATCCTTTAAAAAAATACTTCAGACCGGAACACAGCAGTGCATGCACTGCTATTTGGTGGCAATAATATGTAAGTGTTGTACCAACCTAGGATTGCAAGGTAGAAATTAATGGAGTTCTTCCAACTAGTAAATAAAAATTTATGATAATTTGTGATACAAAAAAATTGACAAATTATTACAAATTGTTTACTCCTAGGTTTAAATACTCTGTGTTTTGTGATAAAATGACAGTCTAGACTGTTTTTGGGTGAATATTTGAAGATAGACATATTGAGGGGTCGTTAATTAAATTCAAATAATGCTTCCAATTATCTTTTTTATGAATTTAACGTAAAATTTATAGTGCAGATTAACGAAATAAATCAAACGCACAGTATTTGAACTGCTATATAGGCCTGAATCTGAAGCTGAAAATTTTCACCAAACGGTGATGAGATATGAAACAAACGGTAATTAGTATTTTAAAAATGGTAATTATGATATGTGATTGGTAATTATAAATAAAATGAATGATGTACTTAAATCGCATATTTATTTATTACATAACTTAATTTAAAAAACATTGTCAAAAATCCACCGGTTTTCCTAATAATTTAATTAGGTCAGTAAAAATTAATTTGTCTAGTAATTTTTAAATTCCCTTTTTTTATTTATAAACCCAACTAAAATATTAGTTTAAAACTCAGTGTAAATAGAACTCAAAGTTATACAAATTCCATCTAAGATAATTATTTCTTAATTCGATGAAATCTTATACAAAAACTTAAAAACAGATTTATATTTAAATCCGACTTAATTTCTATTTCATAACCATAAACCAAGCATGTACTTAATCATAAACTCTTATGTAGATCTGCAAGATAATCACGGCAATGATAAGAGAAAAATACAAAACATTTGATGTTTCTATCAAACTTTGTTTTTATTTTCCTTAGTTTTTAAAATCAACCTAAATTTGAAAAATTAAGGAAAATAAAAACAAAATAAACAGTAATTATCTTTCTAGTAATCTTAATAAAATCTACTAAATCACTACTTCAAAAATCTTTGTAAATAGAACTCAGCACTATACCGGTTTCATCTAAAATATTTCTTAAATAACTATAAAATATTCCGTATCACTTTCATGACCAAGAACTTCTCAGGTAGTTTTAAATGCAGTCTCTTGTGGATCTGCTAGATCATCACACAGCAATGATCCGAGAAAATTAAGCTGGCCATCAATTATTTCATTTGCACTTAATTGTAATGTAGATTGAACATTGTCTTGAAATACATCCAAAAAATTCATATCACTGCCACTGCCAGAAATATTTACCACATTCTCAATTTGTATATTAGGGGCCAAGTGTAATTCATCATCAGGTTTTAAATCAGACAGCATTTTAAGGGTGGTTTCGTCTCCTTTTACGTTTTGACTCTAGTAAAACATTACTTAAGATTTTAATATTCCTTTTATTCTGTGTAGTTTTAGGTTTTACGTTTGTGGCCGCATCAGTCATACTGTGATTTTCATTCTCCTTATTTCTGATAAGTGAAGATTCTTTTGTCTTCATAACATAATTTTCAGTATGTTCACAGTTCACGTCTAAGTATATAAGTAACTGTTTTCTCTGAACATCAGGTGGTCCTTTTCTTTCTGCCACAGTATTTGATAAACATTCAATGTACTTTTCAATGGTTTCAGCTATTCTGAAGATATCAATACATCTTTTTCTATTGTATGGTATTCTTTCACAGTTGCCAGCTTAATATTTTGTGTATTTTGTCTTACGATTTTCAAAAATCCATCTAATTTAGCAACATCTCCACCTTACGCTGCAGCGGTAGTGCATTTAACAACTCTTCCTATTTCAACTGTGTAATTTTTTCAACTAACAAAAGTTTTTTTTTTGTATCATTGTCGTTCTTTTTATCTTCAATGACGTATAAAATAGGGTCAGCTTTGATTTTAGCATATCGATTCTGGCGTGTGATTTTGGATTTAACCAATGTTTCCTCCTTCGACTTACTCTAAAAAAATAAGTTAGTAATAGGGGAGGGGGGGGGGGGGTAGTCAGTCTGTAGGTTTATTTTGTTATGGAAGTGATGTCAGATCACATCAAACAAGCAATAATTGATCACGCTTTGGTAGTAACACAATTCGACCTTGGGCTGGCCCAGCGGAGTAAGGAGTTTCAATATAATAAGAGGCCAGCTTATACTGGTACTAATTACCATTTTCGATTACTCATTACCGCTCCGCCAAAATACGAACGGGAAAAATGGTAATTGTACAAACGGTAATTAGATATTTGTACACTTTCTCACATTATACGTTCTTTATAGAACCTATTATCTCTGGAACTTAATCAAAGCAAAGAGTATCCTATGGCGACTATTACTGTGCATTTAAATGATAAATAAGAATAAAAGACTTACCACGGGAAACTCGAACGGTAAGGAGATTTTTGTTTGCCAAACACGATTTCTGGGCGATTAAGGTAAGCTATAGTTGGCACCAAAAGACTCTTCGTCGTATGACCCGCACGAATCGTGGGGCAAAACTGAGCGCGACCGCTGAGTTACCCTTTCAGAGACCAATACATACGCGGAAAAAAAATAACCCTGCGACTGTGTGGACAAATGGTAGTGAGTATAAAGTGTTGGGACAATTTTCAAAGTCGTTACAAATTACTTAAAAGTGTTCTTTAATATGTGTAGTTTTGCTAATTAGTAAAGCATGTAGTGTACTATCCAAATTACAACAAAAATATACGATCTTCGGGGTTTATTTATAACTTTTCGAGCATGAACTGCTAAAATTTGGAAATTGGGACACGAATGGTGATGAGATTTGAGTAACGTTTATGAATATATCTTAGTTGTTTATTATAATAGGAAAATGTTATGTACATCTTTATATACTACTGAAACCATGTTTTACGTGAAATAAAAAAGAATACAATTTTATATCACACTAAGTAGTTATTTGGGGAGGGCCGCGTAATATGCACATGTTCAAAGAATCACCCTTTTAGACTATGTTTTAGACGTTCAAGTGTTGGCAACTCGGCACCAGATCCACAAACAAATCCATAGAGTAAAACCAAGTAACCACTAACCAAATCCACCCAAAAACCAAACCAAATCAATCGATGACAGGGACGGTTTTATGCAGTTTGTGGGAGTGACGACATTTTGTCAATAAATTGAATTCTTACTAATTTGTATTTAAATTTCCGTAGTGTTTAGTGAAATAAGCCATAAAGATGGCAGACAATGAACAAAAAGCTATGCAGTTAATGGCGGAAGCCGAGAAAAAATTAAGTTCATCTAAAAGTTTCCTTGGATCTCTTTTTGGGTGAGAACAATGATTATTCTTTTTTGCTTGATAGTTTACTTAAATCATCAATGAAGGTATTGAATAATATATTATTGTGAAATTGGAGTTATTGAAACACTTATTACATTCAGTGATCAAGTATTCTGTTAAAACATTTTACGTCATCTCTCGTATCTCTCAATAAAAAATATTTTTTCTTTCATTAATAAAATAATTGTGTTTTCTTTACGATATAGTTAGTACTTCACAGAAATAGGTCATCAATTAACGCTGAACGAATCTAATATTGCTCATCAACTTCACCTTACAAATTTAGTTATGAATCATAGAGAAAACATGATGATTTTGACCAACTATTAACAACTGTTATAATAAGTATTCAAAGCCTTAACTTCGAAATTCATTTTTAAGACTTACTTGTAAAGTATATAGGTCATATCAAATTCTCTTTAACCCAATGATTTCACTTCCTTGTGCATCAAATATCAATGATCTACTGTTTGTTTATTTTACATAATAATATGTTTCTCTTTTTAAAGAATATTTTTGTGTTTATATTTTCCTGACATTTTTCAATTGCAATTTAATACAAGATATTGCAAATCTTGTAATTACCTTTGGATTTTAAATGACAGGCATTTTTTGTATAAACTATACCAGACAAGTGTGAGAAAAAAGTTGCGAAGGTTAATCTTTGGTGTATTGTATTGTACTACAAGAGTTTTTACATGTAAGAAAACTTGTACAATGTAATAGTGGGGTTATTTTGACTACATGTCATTCCTGTTTTAAAATCCAGTAATGTCTATCTGTTTGTTATGAAGTCTACCTCCATTTTTAAGTGTCTGTTAAAGCCCTGGTTTTTAAACTTTAAAATTTAGACTTCCTTTGTAAATAAGGAACATCTAAAGAATTAAGACAAAGAAATGAACATATTGAGGGCTGAATTAAAGCTTTCTGATGAAAGTTAAAAAGGGTGTGCTTATTTTCAATTGTGCTCCAACCTCCAGACTTCAGGGTGGCTACTATAGATATTAGAATTCTTAAAATTTTTTTTTAATTAAGATTTTTGGCTTTGATGCTTGTCCTTTATCATGTCTTCATTTCATTTGAAATCTTCGTTTTTATTGGTTTTCAGTATCAAGTGATAATAATCCTTTATCTATGCTTTACAATATGTTGATGTGTCGCATTGTGTAGCCTTTGGGAGATTTTGACGGCAACTTAAGCCAGCAGACAGTTGACGATAGTATCAAGGCGCCTAACCAGACAGACACCTTATCTTGAAATTTGCATCACCATCTGAGCACTTTTTTCATCGTTTCCACTAATAGTTCACATGCACAGACATTTAATATATAAAATTGCACCACATTTTACATATCAAAATCCACTTAAAACCATTATATCTGGGGGCACGGCAGTGCCCCCGCCTAGTCGAGCAAAAAAGTGGCACGGCCATACCATCTTTTTCTCGAAGCAGTTCAGCCCATTTTCGAAACCCTATAACTTTGTTGTAGATAAAACTAGAAGCCTGAATTTTCAGTAACCAAGCATCCATTGTTTAACCATGGTATATTTCAAATTTCATTCAATTTGAACCAGTAGTTTAAGAATTATAACTAGTCAGTTTCTTAATTTTGTTACTCACTGACTGACCAATCATTAAAACTCTAAGGCACTTCTAGTAGATGTAGAAGCTTCAAATTTTGAATACAATTAGTGTTTAGTGTATAAATCACGGAAAAACTAAAATATTTTGTGATTTCTTTCCAGTTTTCTAGATACACCAACTGCATAAATAACTTTGTAATCCTATATAAATATATAGGATTACAAAGTTACACTTGCAGTGAATGAATCAGTGTACAGTGTACTGTATGTGTATAATGGAACAATACATGTAGATAGGCACCTAGATATAATTATGTTCAAAGGTAACTTGTAAAATGATCAATCTAATGAAAAGGCAAGAATGGGACATGTCTTATGAAGTTGTACCAAAAAAAATTAAGTAGATTAAATTGCCCGAAAATCTGTAGTTGGTAATCAAGAAGTAGATGGTACTGGATAGGAAAAAAAGCAGGACTATCTACAAAAGGAAATGAGATACCATCAAAAACATAACATGTAAAAAAAACCAAGTCCTGCAACTCAGTTCTTGTACTGTAAAAAGTTGTGAGATCCATGTAATACTAAGTTGGTTAATTTATTCCGTCCCTACTCAAGCTTCCTTCTGACTCAAGTTATTACGTAATTAGGTAACCTAACAACATCTTATAATGACCATTGCCCATTGCCTTGGCAATAGCACTAAACAATCTAATTTAATATAATATGTATTACTTGTGAGATACATTGTGTTTTCATGCGATGGCCAAGTCAATCTCTTTATTTAAAACATAAAACATTTTTAATATTGATATGGTCACTATAAGATGTTGTTAGGTTAGCTCATTACCTAATAACTTGAGACAGAAGTGCCCTTGAGTAGGGACTGACTCTCCTTTTAAGGCTCTATTTCTATCTATAATAGCTCTTATGGTCATCTTCTGCAAAACAAAAATAGTTTCTAAATCAGCCACATTTCCCCATAGCGAAATCCCATAAGACATTATGCTATGGAAATAACTGAAATAAACTAATCTAGCTGTCTTGACATTAGTGAAATCTCTAATCTTTTTTACAGCATAAGCTACAGAGTTTAGTCTGCTTGCTAGTTTGGACCCTACAATGTTTCCTGTCCTAATGTTTTGCATACATACACATATTATTCTTCCCCCCATTTAGCCTGCCTTTTTTCAATCCTATTCCTCACCTATATTGATGGTTGGACATAAAACATACTGTGCACTGCAGTGGTATGTACGAAATGTTAGATTATCTGTGAATACACCTGTGAATTTGCACAGATTATTAAGTTCTGGTGAAGTGCAGTTAAGCTTCCTGTGCTAATTGGTGACATAATACTGTTTTGCCTACTATTATCCTTTTGCACTTCCTAAACATTATTTCCTTCGTCTTTTTTTCATATCTATAACACTGTTCAACTGGCAACATATATTAATTTTGGTTGTACCATTTTCAAGAATATTGATGTAAGATATAAATCTAAATTTTCTTTCCTCTCAGGGGATCATCAAAAGTAGAAGAAGCAGTTGACTGCTACCTCCGAGCAGCTAACCTATTTAAAATGTCAAAGAAATGGGCACAGGCTGGTCAAGCATTCTGCAATGCAGCACAGTTGCATCTGAAGGCTGGTGTACGTCACGATGCAGCCACTAACTTTGTTGATGCCTCCAACTGCTATAAAAAATGTGATCCTAATGGTGAGTATATTGGAATTACTTTGGATGTGAAAATGTCTTAAAAATTTGCTTACATAGTGGTAGACAATTCAGATAACTGATGAAAAGAAAATTGGAGGATACAGTTTGGTGTTGCAGCTACATATCTTTCATCCACATCCGAAATTTGTTTGTGAGGACTGTGATGTATCGCTCGGGGGAGGGGATTGCCACCATTTTGAGTTTGTTTCGTAACGTATACGTAATCATGTAAACTAAAAGATTCTTTACTTTATCACTACTGGACATAGCCCTTTCTCATAGTAGGAAGGAGTTTCTGTTATAATAATAATAATAATTTATTTGATACAGACAACACAGATCCATTACAAAATTAATTTTTTTTTATTGTTTAGCTTGAGGGGGTTAGGTTAGCAAAATAAAACACACTGTAATGCAATGTTTCATTGGTAAGCTGTTTGTTTTCTAATGGTTAGAGATTAATTATATTGTGTTATCACACTAACAACTGTATTAATTACAATTTATGTATCAAAACAATCAAACAACTATTATTGGCATTATTTTAGATTTTTGTTAAGTATTTGGAAGTGGGTGCTAATTAGCCACATTGCATACATTCCCTAAATAATTGCAAAATGAGCAGTTGGATGACAGTTCTCTTGAAAAAAATAAATTGTAGTCTTGTTTTTAGCAAATGTGCTAAAGGTATTATATTTATTTATTTATTTATTTTAACAGATACACCATTGGCTTATCACTAGACATTGTTAAGTATAACACAATTGGTTTTGTTCAAAGTGATTTGCCTTTAAAGGTATATACAACATTCGCAAATAGTGCAGCTACTATAAGACAGTTGTTAACTTACTTAACTAGAACAATATTATTAATAAATTTACAAGTAATTTGCTTACAAAAAAAAAAAACTAATGTTAAACTTGAAGAAGATAGAAAAAGTTATAAATACTTATTACATAATTTAGCAAATTGTGATACGTTATCCGTATGGAAAATGTCGACATCGCCGTTGGTGGTTATGTCGTTAAACGTTTGCATTAACCTATTTATTGGGGCTCGTTTACCTAAATTTGTTCTATGGTTAGATAAACAAAAGATTTTGGTAATCGGATGTCTTGGTATAGATCTTGGAACTCTGATACTTATTTGATTTAACAGTGCCGGTGATAGTAGGAGGCCGTGAATTAGCTTATAAAGTGTTTTAAGATCGCTAAGTCGACGTCTTTTTTCGAGAGACTCTAATTTGAAGTGGGATAGCCTAGTATTATAGTCAGCACGGTAAGGACAAGTTTGATCTTTAAAGGCTAAGTAGCGGGTAAAATTGCGCTGGATACGCTCTATTCGATCACTGTGAATTTGGTATGATGGGTTCCAAACAGGTGAAGCATATTCTAGTGTACTACAAATAAGAGCTTTGTATATAGTGAGAATAGATATAGGGTTCCGCAAATCCTTACATATTCGCTTTACGAATCCTGCCATCTTCCATGCCTTGGATGCAATATTATCAATATGGATGTTGAAATTTAATTTTTTATCGATCATTACGCCAAGGTCACGGACTACTTCGGATTCTGTTAATTTTTCTCCATCTACAAAATAACTGGAGCGAATAATGTTTCTCTTTCTGGTAATTTTTATAGACAGACATTTCTTGGGATTTAGTAGCATTTTGTTACTTTTGCACCAATCTGAGATAGAGGTGAGATCTGTCTGTAATTTAACTACATCATCTGGAGACTCTATAACCTTATACAATTTTAAGTCATCTGCAAATATTGAGTAATTACTAAAGGTAATATGAGCAGAAATGTCATTTATAAATACCAAAAAGAGAACAGGGCCGATATGCGACCCCTGTGGAACGCCTGAAGTTGGATAAAACGAAAAAGACTTGAAACCCTGTGTTGTTACTCTTTGAATTCGATTAAATAAGTAGGATTTTATCCAATTCAACAGGTTTCCGTGAATACCATAATAATTTAATTTGGACAAAAGAATGGCGTGGTTAACTTTATCGAACGCGCTACTAAAATCGGTGTATATAGCATCAACTTCTTTATTTTTATCAACATATCTCGCCAAGTTCGAGGTGTATTCTAGTAGGTTACTAACTGTAGACTTATTTGCGCAAAAACCATGCTGACAATTAGAAATTACCTTTGATAAAGGAGAAGACAAAATGAGGCAGAGTATTTTTTCTAAAAGTTTAGGGAACAAGCTTAATAAAGAAACAGGTCGGTAGTTTTCAATATTGCGTTTGTCACCTTTTTTGTAGATGGGAATCACATTGGAAATTTTCCACTCGTCAGCAAATTTTGCAGTTTTAATTGATTTATCGAAAAGCAATTTTTTAGATTATGTTACATTATGTAGCTTAAATTATAGCATGTTGCCTCGGTGTTAATTTGGTTTACTTAACTTTTATTTTATGTGCATTCATACACAGAGAAACTCTAATCATAGCCCTTTCCACACCTTGCACGACTATGTCTCATATCCATATGTTATTACTGGTAACAGGCAGTGGTATACACTCTTGCTTTCTAGTTTTGAGGACTAGGTGACGACATGTGTCATACCCAACCGAACCCTGCCCAGCCGCGTTGGATCTGTGGTTTAACCTCTCGGTCGTGGTTTGAGTTTACCTAGTCCAACAACCAAAAAATGGTTCTCTAGTGGCAAATTCGTATCAGTAAGTGAATTGTAGGAAGTCCCCCCACTATGATGATCGAAGGTAAGAAAGTCGATGGATGTAGGTGGATCAAGACCATGCTTTGTGGTGTTCCTTGTTCTTTTTGCACCATATTCAGTAGTGGACTTGTGATGCACTGTAATAATTGATGATAATGATGTATTGCCTAAAATATATTAACTCTTTAATAATTCTTTCTGATTGACATATGACTCTTCTTTTTCTTCTTCACCAGCCTGTTAAAGTCCACTTTGTTTGTAGGAAGTGTTTGCATGAATCACCATACTTGGCTGACGAATGGACCATCACAGTACCAGACGTTTCGCATATTTGATGCTACTCCCCTTTGTAATGTTTTTCAAGTTCTTCACTATTTCTTTGACACTCTCTGGTCTATATGGATAGATGCTTGAACATACTTTATGGATTTGAACATATGGGGTGCTGTGTCGTTAGATTTTTTTTTAAATGCTGGCAATGATATTATCATTATTAATATTCCCTTTAACCACTCCCGGAAAGCTTAAGTGGCTTGTGTTAAGAGTGGTTCACGACAGTAGTCGAATGACAGATGCGAAACCAGGACCTTTTGAGTTTGCAGACTGCACCCTGCTATTAGGCTAATATTGCTTGATGTCTTAGTTGTGGAAGTAAAATAGGGTTCTTTTTCTATAAAACTGAAGTGACAAACTTACAGTGCACTTTTTTTATAGGATAAGGGTACAAACGAGCACACAGTGTCCACCTGATGATAAGTGGTTGCTGTGGCCCATAGACATTTACATCTATCTTCGATTACGAATCAAAATGCAGATGCGTTGTCACTCGTGAGGACTAAGATGGAATGCCTCTTTCCCAGTAAAAAGAGGTCTCCGGTTCTCTACACTCACCATATGAAACACAGCAGCGTTAAGCTGCTATTGTACGCAGGTACTCTGTGAGAGCGTGGTCCTTCCCCGGTCGAGCCGACCCATTCGTGCTACAACTATAGCAGTAATTTAGCTGCAGCATGGCTTTACCACGTACAAAAACTTGATGCAATTACACTTGATGGGAAGAGGCAGCTGTAGACACATAGACACAGAAAAAAGCTGTATTGTGATGTGTGATGACACCGCTAAGGTCTAAAATGGAATGCCTCATAGAATGTAATTATACTGGCTCTCTATACCCTTTAGACCAGAACACAGCAGTGCAAACACTGCTATTTGAAGGTAGAAATAAATAAATAACTCCTGGGCATAGGCAAGAGTATTTTTTTCTGTGAACTTTTTACACAGTACGTGTTAGAGCCAAGCTGCAACTATATTTATAGTATAGATGTAGAACTAATGGGTCAGCACAACCGGGGAAGGACCACGCTCTCACAGAATACCAACTTAAAGTAGCAGCTTAATGCTGGTGTATTTCGTGGGTGAGTGTAGAGAACAGGAGACCCTTTTTACTAGAAAAGAGGCATTCCATTTTAGTCCTTAAGGCTGACAACGCATCTGCATTTTGATTCGCAAACGAGGCTAAATGTAGATGTCTATGGGCCACATCAACCACTTACCATCAGGTGGACTGTGTGCTCGTTTATCACAATTATTCTATAACAAAAATGTAGTTTTCATTACAAATACCTGCCTAACACAAATTCTGAATACCAAAGAGAGCCTTTAAGATTTTTTAAAATTCTGAAATAAAGTAATATATATAAAATCTACATTTATCTTCCATTACAATTTAAAATGCAGATGTGGTGTCACCCTTGAGGACTAAGATGGAATGCCTCATATCCAGTAAAAAGGATCTTCGGTTCTCTACACTCTCTATACAAAACACAACAGCCTTAAGCTGCCATTTTATGCTGGTATTCTGTGAGAGCGTGGTCCTTCCCCGTTCGAGTCGACCCATTTGTGTTACAACTATACTATTAATATAGCTGCAGCATGGCTCTACCAAATAAAAATGGCCAATAAAACCATCTCGTTTAGAATAGAACTAGCTGTTCCCGGTGACTTCTCCCACGTCGGATTTATTACGATCGGATTTCATGGGTCTTAATTTTTGCACGGAACCTTAATTATTTTTCTAAAAGAAAAGAAGCCTAAGTTACTCCTAGTGTAACATCAGCTATATGTCAGTCAAATCTCTATCTCAGTCAGTCTCGTCAAATTTGGTCTATCGAATCGGAGATTAGCTAGAATATACAGACAAAATTTTCTTTTGTTATAAGTACCATATATACTTTCATATGCATTTAGTGAAAAGCTTCTATTTTGGCATTACAAACAAGCACAATTTTATTTATTTGTATAGATACTCGTAGAACCATTTTTATGCAATACAAATCATAACAAGAACACTCATTGAAAGTCATTTAAACTTTACCGCTGATTCGAAAAAACCTCTGACCTGGGAAGAACCAGCAAGAAACCCAGCGGTACTTTATTTTAAACATTAATTTACAATATGATATTTTATGCAATTAACCATGTACTAGCAGTGTAATCCACTACCCTATAGCGTCCGTTGGGTGTCGTAAGAGGCGACAAAGGGAAATTAAACAGGTGATGGGCAGCAAGCATCTTCCCTATAACAACTTAAAATAACAAAAAAACCGCGGTTGCCAAACCACCTGCTAACCGTGGCAACTATGGCAATATCCCCCCTATGAGGAAATCTATGGGAGGCCTATGTTCAGCAGTGGACTTTTAATGGGCTCTAACGGAACAGATTTAATGGATCATTTCTTTATTAAAATAGGCACTTTTACAATTTTGCAGAGGCGGTCTCTTGTCTTTTGAAGGCCATAGAAATCTACACTGACATGGGCCGGTTTACTGTCGCAGCGAAGCAACATCAGGTATAGCGCAATTCCTATTTATGAAGAATTAGTAATCATTAATACATAGGCCAACTAATTAATTGTTAGGAAGTAATTACTATGATAATCTTAGTTTTTCTTTCTTACTTATGCGTAGCTTTGGATACAGGCGATTCCTAATGCTAATATTTGCATTATCACTGGAATGTATTTAATATTGACTAAAAACAGAGTTCATTGTGAAAAATAATACAATTAATTTTCATAAAGTTCTATTGTTGATCTTTATTTTTTTCTCATACAGATCATATTGTACCTCGGAAGTAATGTTCTCTGCTTATTTATAGGTTGACTTTAGTCCGCCTTCGTTTATTTTTGTGCGACGAAGTTTAAATAAATAAATAATGTTTCTAGAACATTGCGGAGTTGTACGAGACGGAATGCGTGGATTTGGCCCGCGCAATGCAGCACTATGAACAGGCGGCGGATTACTTCCGCGGCGAGGAGTCCACATCCTCAGCGAACAAGTGCATGCTCAAACTGGCACAGTACGCCGCCCAGTTGGAACACTACGACAAGGCCATACAGATCTACGAGCAGGTGAGTTGTGGACAGAAGCTGGTGTTGTTTTTTTTATAGAATAGTGGTGACAAACGACCACACAGTCCACCTGATGGTAAGTGGATGCCTTGGCCCATAGACATCTAAGTATATCCTCAATTAAGAATCAATCAAAATATGGAAGCGTTGTTATCTCTGAGGACTAAGATGGAATGTTAATACTACATACATAATTAAACTAACACAATTTTCAACAAATGTGGACTTTCGATCGGCTGTAATGAATGAATATATCAATAATTGTATTTTAATACAGCGTGTTCTAATTGTAAATTGAAATTTATTTTTAAGGTGAACGCACATTTGTCAGCACCGTACGCGCCGTATTTTAGAATTCGCTGTATGAAACCTCGCACACTACTAATATTGAAGGAGGCATACTGATGACGTCATATTTTGCGCCGCGTTTGGCGCGTGCTAGCGTTGCCGACTTAGTGGTGGTTTCGAGAGTAATTTTGTCCACTTAAAATGGTGGTTTCGACTACCCTTATAATGGAGAAATATTGTTTACAGTGGCAAGTGTTTTTGGTGGTTCAGTGGAATATGGTTTCAATTAGTGGCAAGATGGTCACCCCACCAGTAACCACTTACACGTTTCGAAATATATTTTTTACTTCATTTCAGGAGTATTGCATGCCTTAAGCGCAAAGCGCGTAGGTATGTTCTACTAGCACCTAAAATCAAAATTCCAACGTTTTGTCGCATAAGGCTAAGCGTCCACTAGGCTCTCCGAGCCGAGCCGAGTCGAATCGAATCGCAGAAAGTCGCCTCCTATATATTTACTATGAAACTGCGTCTATTAGCGACGAGCCGCGGCGCGCCGAATAGAATCGACCGCACGAATTGCTTGACAGGCGAATTTATTCGGCGATGCGATTCGATTCAACTCTGCGCGCCTCAGTCGACGTGGAGAAGTGGATGCGCGCCAGTGTATTTTAATTAATTTCTATTTCGTTTTTGTAATATTATTTATGTTTAAATAAAAATGAATGAAGAACTATTGATATCACTGGTCCAACAATATCCAGAATTGTTTAATCATGAAGATCCACATTATCACGATGAAATAAAAACATTTCTTCATCCGAGCTGTCCATGACGCAAAAACGACCTATTTTGATGAAGAATTTACGATGAATGAACAATTCGATTCGATTCGTCAGTGATGGACGCACTAGGAATAAATGCTTCGATTCGACGCATTTCTGCTGTAGTCGACGCCAGGCTTAAAATCGCATTTAACATAGAAATGATATAAAAAGCACATTGTCAGAAAGATAAATGATTGTTCAACTTACGTTTTTTTTTAAGATCAATTGCTATTTTTACATAAAAAAGCGGTTTTAGTGACAAGGTGTAGATTTGAATAAAACTGCTTTTTACGGATTCTATCGCGTTCAATTTACTTATTTTTTATTAGATTCCCGACGTTTCGGGTGCTTTACAGCACTGATGGCCACGGGGGACTGAGATGATTGACGTCCCGATGTCAGAATTAACCCGGAGTACCTTCAGCTATTTAATTATTACTTTTGGTCCGACCTACGCAGCAGCAGGGTATCCTAATTATTTTGCAATTAAACTATATTATAAATGATAATATAGTTTATTTGCAAAATGAGTAGATTTAATTTATAATAGATATAATATGGCCCCTAGAGGGGTGCCGATGAGGTGCTAGGCTAGCCTAGGGTGCAGTCGATATTTAATCCGCCTCTGCCTCCGGACTTGATTGTGACCTGAAAGTGTACTTTGATGAATGCTACTGGAACTCCTCGAAGAGTAGAACCAGGTGTGCCGAGTTAGGCCCTGTTTTGTTAGTTATGATGAGACCTTACCTCCGGGCTTGAAAGAATGATCTAAAGGTGTATTTCGATAACTGCTACTAGAACTCCTCGACGAGTAAATAATATGTGTGCCGATTTTGGGCTCGTTTTGTTAGTTATGATGAGACCTTACCTCCGGACTTGATAGAGTGACTTGAAGGTGGATTCCGGTGACTGCTACTGGAACTCTTTGACGAATAGAACTACAATTTGCTTTTTTTTCACTATCATCTGAGCAATATGAGTCGTGCACTTTTGGATTTTTCAAACTTTTTTTTTTAAATTGAAATTCGACAAAATTATCGGAAAATTGGAAGTATAGTAATAAGGTTATTAATGAAAACGTGTGTATTTAAACTACTTTAAAAATTTAGGTACAATCATGTTATACGTATTTTTTTTAATGCGCTTAAGGCATGCACAATTGAATTTACCAATACTTTTTATTTTTACTGTGTAGGCAACTATAAGCCGTCAGACAAGACGTGCGTAAGGCGATCCATCCATCAAATGCAAATATCTGAATAATCGTTCATCAAGATCTAATAACTCGCGATACCATCCATACCATCTCGATGATTGGCGATCCACCACTATGCGATTTAGAAGATGTTTTCTTCCTCGCACAACTTCTTAGTGGAATCGATTACCACCAGCGATTATTCCGGACCGATACGACTTAGGGACCTTCAAGGAAAGAGCCTACTCCTTTTTAAAAGACCGGAAACGCATCTGCAATTCTCCTGGTGTTGCAGTTGTTCATGGGCGGCGGTAGTCACTTACCATCAGGTGAGCCGTATGCTCGTTTGGCCCCTCTCCTATAAAAAAAGTCTTTATATAACGTATAATATTCTCCATACAACTGCTGCCTTTTTAAATTAATATTGTGAATCCAGAACCTTCTTTTTCTTCGAATTGTATATTTTTCTTCCTCTGCCAATAAGCATGCTGTTACAAGAATTTTTTCCATAGCGATCCAAGCTATTTCGGGCGATTAATGTCACTGTGCCGTTTCACACCAGTGCAGTGGTTAGAAAAAACTGCAAAAGTTGTTGGTAATATTAAAAATTTGCGTACGGTGTGTACGTGCTAATGTGCGAGACCATCGCTAAAAGCGGTGCGTACGGTGCTGATAAATATTTTAAAATTGATAATTCTGTGCTTATAAAGCATGCCTAAAAATAAATTATAAAAAAATCTAAAAAAGTAAATTGACATTTTAATCAAAATTATTTAATATGATAATTTTGTCTACTGGTGCATTTACTTTATTTTTTTATAGGATAAGGGTGACAAACGAACACACAGTCCACCTGATGGTAAGTGGATGCTGTGGCCCATAGACATCTACATCCATCCATCCTCAACTACGAATCAAAATGCAGATGCGTTGTCACCCGTAAGGACTAAGATAGAATGCCTCGCCTCGTTTCTAGTAATAGGGGTGTCCGGTTCTCTACACTCACCGTACGAAACACAGCAGAGTTAAGCTGCTATTTTACGCTGGTATTCAGTGAGAGCGCGGTCCTTCCCCGGTCGAGCCAACACATTCGTGCTACAATTATACTACTGATATAGCTGCAGCATGGCTCTACCACATATAAACTGTGTTCTTCTTCGCCAAATATAAATGAAATTGTTCCAGATTGCGAAGTCGTCCCTGGACAATAGTCTGCTGAAGTACAGTGCAAAGGAGTACATGTTCCGAGCGGCCTTGTGCCACCTGTGCGTGGACTTGTTGAATGCACAGCATGCGCTCGATAAGTACGTCGGCCTCTATCCAGCCTTCGCGGATACGCGCGAGTACAAACTCGTCAAGGTACCGAGAATCTTTGACTCTTACTTAAAATAATAATAATGGTCTCCAGATCGAATTTCCGTCACGGCAGCCGGTCTTAACGGAGACTAGCCATCTTTGCAGGACAAGCTTTAAGTGCCCGAGTGCATGCGCAGGCACAGGTGCACTCTGTATTCCGTCACTCTTATTGTCCGATGGGACGGTACACAAACACGACCGGAGAGAGATCAGGCGCAGGACCAACGGCTTTACCGAGGCACAGCGGTTGAAACACCGCCAACTCCCTGTTTCCCGGCTGCTACTGAGAATTTCTTGATAGTAGAAATCAATATCTTATTTTTTTAGCCCTGAACTGGGATTCCAACCCGGGACCTCACGATCGGCAGTGGCGTTAACTCCTGTTAGACCTACGAGTCAGTCAACTTTTACATATATTAGGGTAAGAAAGACCTACATACTTCCCACCACTGGGAACAGGCCTTATTACATTGAATTACGTTTTGGAATGTCTCAACGTAATAAGTTTGGTATAAAGCAGAGCACTTTTTTACTTCAAAATTGCAGCAAACATCGTTGTATTAATGCCAACAGAGATCAAACTCGTTGAGATTTAGGGACAACGCCGAGCTCCTACCCGAGTTACCATGTTTCATTATAGTAGATTGTAAGGCATTTCCTTCATTATGAGGCAATCTATGGGAAGGCCTATATTAAGTAAGAGTAAGACTCTTGGTGGCCTGTAATGAATGTATGATAGCTCTAATGCCCAACGATGGCGGTACACTCATTTAGAATTGCTTAATCTAAATCTCAAACTGGTGATGGATAGAATCAACAGTGCAATAATTTTGGGTCTACGATACGATACGATACTTCAGACCAACGAAGAAAGACAGATACTCCGTACATTTCATGGGACACGTAAAACATGCTCAACTTATTGTAAGAACCAACACGTGTGCACAACACATAAGCACCTAAAATCATGGTGATGGCAAGGTACGATACGTACAACAATTCATCCTTTCAGCGTGGTGGTTAGGAGTATTTCATATATGCTTTATTTGGCTTATTCTGAAACAGTTCGCAACCTGTCTGTGAATAGTGGTAATAATGACAAAATCCCATCTATTAGGCATTCTATGAGGTAGGACTATGTTCAGTTATGGATTTATAAGCTGTAATGGACGTCTTAGTAGTTAGTAAAAGTGAACCTTAAAATATGTTCGGTACATCATGAAACTTCGGAATAAAAGCCATGTAAAGTTTAAGAAAACTAATTGGGATAATGATAAAATTCAATACAAATCTTTGAAACGTTTGTCAAACATTAGGATATACTGGGAGAAAAAAAAAGTATATTTTAACAATCAAATTAATAATAACGTAAACCATCCCGCATTATTGTTGAAAAACTTGAAACGGTCCGTGCTTCCCAACTTAAAGGAAGCATCGACAGCACTTCCTGTGTTTTCCGACGACCCAAATATAATCAATAACAGTTTTCTTAATGATACCGGGAATAATAACTTAACCATTTCTGATTTAACTCAATACGAGTTTCATCGTTAAGGGTGTAACGAATTTAAACTTTATAATATGATATAAGTGATGAATATATTTCAAAGATTATAGATTATATATATACATATTATCAATAAAATATAATTCTCACAGTATTGAAGAGTTGAGTAGGGATATGATCATCTTACGGCTAGACGACTCCGTGGCGCAGTGGCTTAGCAAATCAGTTGTTGCGCTGGGGGCCGCGGGTTCGAATCCCGCACGGAACAAGTATTTGTATGGCCTACAAATAATTGTTCCGGGTCTGGATATTTGTCCTTGTGCAATTTATGTTTGCAAATTGTCTCCACAACACAGGAGAAAATCCTAGTGTGGGGTAACGTTTTTTTAAAAGAAAAAAAAATCTTAACACTTCCGGCTACGTTAAAAGTGATTACAGCAATCATAAATATGTCAATTGAAACATCTACTCTTCCTTCTTCGTGGAAAATAGCTCTCGTAATTCCTTTACCTAACAATATTTTACCCGACTTACAATCGGGTTTTAGAAAAGGTAGAAGCACTTCTACTGCTTTTCTTGACGTGGTTGACAATATTCTTACATCTCAAGACTCTGGTAGAGGTACGATCTTTACCCTCCTTGATTTTTCAAGAGCGTTTGATTCTATTAACATAGATTTGCTGCTGTCTAAGCTATCGTTTTATGGTTTTGTAACATCTTCCATAAAATGGTTTAAAAGTTTATAATAATTTACACTGCTGATATAACTATTTGCATGCATTTTTGTAAATACCACCTATATGCTGATGATCCACAGGTGTATCTTTCCTGCAATTCGCTTGAATTTCATTCTACAATTAGTAACATTAATGAGGAACTGAATCGAATTGCAATATGGTCACAGAAAAATTCCCTCATTCTAAACCCACTACAAACTGAGTTATATGCTTTTAGGATCAAAAAACCAAATCAAATTTTTAGAGAATCAAAACCTCAAAAATCATGTTGTTAAACGTTCCTCTGTAGCGTGTAAGTGAAGCTCGTAACAGACTTCGTTTTGGAAAACACTTACTTGAGGTTGTCTGCAACTGCTTTTATAGGTTAAAAGCGTTATACAGAATCCGCGAATACGTTCAGTTGAACTTAAGAATTAGACTGTGTGAATCTTTCGTTCTTTCAAAATTAAACCACTGCATTACAGTATATGGACCATGTATTTTGGAAAAGTCACATCTAATTCAACGTATACAAAATGCATGTGCACAATACTGCTTCTCAATACCAAAACTGTCCCATGTATCCCAACACCTTTTTTCAATGAAACAGGTATTTTAAAAATGAAAGCGCGACAGAAACTATACCTTAGAATTTCAGTTAATCTACTGTTGTCAAAACTAAGTCGCCTCAACAACATATATTAGGTCCTTACATATGAAATTGACGTTTTGTATGGGAGGAATATAAAGACAATTTTTTTTTTGTAAAATATATTTAATAAATCAAAGTATGCACCGTTGTTATCTATGCACTTTAACCATCTCACAGGTAGTTCATTGATCGCTTTACCAAAAAAAACCATGGGGGCGAGAATCAATAAACTCTTTGGAAGCGGTTTGGACTGCCGCATCGGAGTTGAATTTTTTTCTTTGTAAGAAGTTGTCCAAATTCCGGAAAAAATGGTAATCTGTTGGAGCAAGGTCCGGGGAGTACAGTGGATGTCGCAGACATTCCAATTGTAGCTCATCTAACTTAGTGGTTGTTTGTTGTGCAGTGTGTGGTCTTGCGTTGTCGTGAAGCAGCAGTGCCCTAGAGCGATTGACCAATTTCGGTTGTTTAGCAGCTAGTTCTTCCTTCATGGTTTGCAGTTGCTGACATTAGATATCTGGCGTAATCGTTTCGCCAGATTTTAGAAAGCTGTAGTGAATGACACTGGCGCTAGTCCACCAAATACTCACAAGTAACTTTTTCTGAGTCAATTTTCGTTTAGGGCAAGATTTCGCTGGGTCTCCAGGGTTCAGCCATTGCGACGAGCGCTTCCGATTATCGTATAGTATCCGTTTTTCATCACAAGTAATGATTCGATTTAAAATCCCTTCATTATTGTGTCGGTTGAGCAAAGTAACACAGCAGTCGACGCATGTTTGCAAGTTCGATTCACTCAATTCATGAGGTAGGTACCCATCGTACTAGTTGTTTACTTCCCGATTTGCTTCAAGTGGATTAATACAGTTTTATCACTTACCCCGAAGCTTGCAGCTATCTCTGAAGTGCTTTGTGATGGATCCGCTTCCACAATAGCCTTTAATTCTTCATTTTCCACTTTGATCTCCGGCCGTCCACGGGGTTGGTTCTGAAGGTCGAAATTTCCAGAACGAAAACGTTGAAACCAAAAACGTACCGTGCTTTCTTACTAGCGCCGTGAACATCAACAATCCTTCGAGCTGTTTCTGCAGCACTGGTGCCACGGTAGAACTCGTACTCGTAAATATACCAATATTTCATGGTTTTCATTGTGGCGGAAATAAGCGACGCCAAAGAAAAAAAATAATGGGGAAAAAACAAACGAATGACTGTTTTCAAAACTCAAATGTACCAGCTAAATGAATTTATAAATTTGAATTTGGAATTCTTAACCAAAGAGGAGATATTTCAGATGAAAGTGTTCAGTACGATAAAACGCTAATTTCATATGTAAGGACCTAATATATGATAAACTAATATGGAGAAATCGACAAAACATCATTAACCGCTTGCCAATCCAACTTACTGTTCTGCAGCTTTCAGAGATAGTTTTAAATAGCTACTATGTGTTGAAATGACACTTCGCATTTACGTGAATGTAATTCAAAGTATAATGTTAAATCACAGTATAAAAATCATTTATTACACTTACAAAAAGCTCAACCTTGGGCCTACAGCTGATTTTTCTTCCAACATCGTTGAGCATTATATTATATTAAATACACACTAAAACAAACGTTTGTTTTAGTGTGTATTTACGAAGCTTACCGTTACGTTTATTTTTATATATTTTTGGACTTATATTTTTATATAGAATGTATGTGTGTATATCCCTAAATGTCTATATAGATATATTTATCAGCAACGAAATATTTCAATTTATAAAAATAATTATTAAATTGTATTTCATAAACACATCTAGGCGGATCGTGCGTGTATCTGTGGTATCACAAAATCATCAGCGCTGTAGGTTATCCTGCATCATTACGCCCCATCACTTGTAATTTTAATAAGCCATACATTTAACTGCTTTTTGTGATGTGTACAGTTTCAGTGAATAATAAATGTTTTTCTTTCTTTCTTTCTTTGCTTTCTAAAAGATTTTAAAGGACTGAAAATACAATGTATTTCTAATATAAGCATTTCTTCCCAGGAGCTCATCGAGCACTTGGAAGACCAGAACGTGGAGGCATTCACCGAGGCGGTGAAAACCTACGACAGCATATCGCGCCTCGACCAGTGGTACACCAGCATCTTGGTTCGCATCAAGAAACAGATTAACGACAATCCCGACCTGCGTTGAATAACCGCCGAGTGTGTCGCCGTAACCGCCGCGTGTTAATGCGCCCTAAAGCGGTTGTTTAATCTGTAGCGCTTTGTTACCTGTGCCCGCGTTTGACAGTTCGTTTGTACGCAAATGTCATTTGAATGAGAGGTTATTTGAAAATATCCTTACAATTACTTACTTTATTCTAGGTTTTTCTTCTATAGAAGTTTGTATTTCTTTTTGTAAATAAACATGTGAAAAAGTCAGCTGGCTTGTATAGTTTTAAAAATTTACATCGTGCATGGTTTGCACTATTATAAAATATGTATCAAATAATGCATAGATACCACTGACCTCTATTATACAAGTACTCTGGCCTGGATATACACCGTGACATAATGGGGCGATTTGATATTTCGCCATTTTGGCGCTGATAGCAGAAGTGAACGTCCACGGAACTAATAATAGAAATAGACAGTGTGATAAAATATATCGATAAAACTTCTATATCCAGACCTAACATTCTATTATGTATAATTGTAATATACAATAAATAAATGTATCAATTAATACTTATGCCTTAAACGCAAGCTTTACGCCTGAAATTAAACAAAAATCGTCTATCTACGTTTATCTTCGTAACTTTAGAACGGGTTTTTTTTCGGGTTTCATCATTAGGTATGTATGGTCCATTCGATTAGTTTAAAAAGCAATGAGTAGGAAAAACTGGACTAGGTAACTGGGTAGGTAGGTAGTTTAAATTTTTTTTTATAGATTAAGGGTGACAAACGAGCACACAGTCCACCTTGATGGTAAGTGGTTGTTGTGGCGCATCTATCTTCGTTTGCGAATTAAAATGCAGATGTGTTGCTGTGAGGACTAAGATATAATGCCTCTTTTCCAGTAAAATGGGTGTCCGGTTCTCTACACTCCACCATACGAAACACGGCAGCATTAAGCTGCTATTTGACGCTAGTATTCTGTGAGAGCGGGGTCCTTCCCCGGTCGAGCCGACCCATTCGTGCTACTACTATACTATTAATATAGCTGCAGCATGGCTCTGCCATGTGCTTTTTTAATATAAACTGTAAATCCCCTATAAATTTAGTTCCCGGTACACTCAATAGTGGCGCTTCAAATCGGCACAAACTTTGTGGGGTGTATCCAGTCCAGCGTATTAGTTAGTATAGGCATATGGAGGTCAGTGATAGATACTATATTGCAAGTTGTAGATTAGGATTTAAAATCTATGAACTTGTTTAGTTATTTGGATTTCTTTTTGTTAGAAAAGTGTTACTTAATAAATTTAAAATGCTGTTTGCTGCAAATATTTCGAATTCTTTGAAATAATTCGCAAAATTTCAACACTGCGGATACTAAGTTCTGTTTAATAGCTATATATTAACATTAACAAAAAGAGAAATAATGTCGATTGCGTAGATCGGGCAAGGATATTTTTTCTTTTCAATCTCTCTCCGAGCACCTCGTGACTAATCATTACTTTTGCCGTGAAATTGCAAATTTATCTGTGGTGACTAAGGCCCAGTTTATGATTTTCTGGCTTAGAACCAGTATTTTTTTAATATTTCTAACATTCCTTAATTTAAATGTAACTCGACATTACATTACAAGAGTAGCATTCTTTCTATATATGAGTGTCGATTATTTTTACTAAATTTCCATAATGACTTTTTATATTTACGCAGATAATATACATTAAATGAAACTGATTTTACGGATTTTATCGCGTTTAATTTTAACTTTTTAATTCCTGGCTTATCTGGAGCTTTACAGCACTCATGGTCACGAGGGGGACTGACACTTCAGTCAACGTTGGAAAGTAGATAGTTAAAGGAAACGTCATAAAATCCGTAAAGTACGTTTCATTTAATAAATTTCGGTTAAATACAAGTATATGAAAGGAATTGCTATGTATTAAAATTCAGCGTTAATGCTCAAAGCAAGGTTAAGGGCGGGTCGGCAACGGTTTATTTTCTATTTAACTATTTAAAATATTCATTACGCCTACACATTAATCGTTGACGTTTAGGCGCATTTTTCTACGCGTTACATGTGCGGCCATTTTAAGTATATAAACAACGAAATTAAAATTTGTATCGTGTAACAATTTTTATTGACACGATAAAAAACAATAAAGCTTTGTAAATTGAAGTAAATCGATGAGAATAACAGGATTGAGTCAAACATAAAAAATGCTTGCTAAATTTTTTAATGGTAACAATAAAATACTCTTTTAGTCCGCTTTGTAACGCGTATACATGTTTAGTATTCAATATTTAGGTTTATAGTTAGCTGTTAAGAGGGCGGGCGTTTTTCTAAATAACTATTAATATACGAAGTGCACCCTATACGTTCCGTTATGCTAAGTACACTAGAATTCGGATGTTTTGCCTCTAGCAACATTGTCATAACTTGCATATTTTTAATATAACCTAAATATAGATGACAATGGTTCTAATATTATAATATTGAGTATAATGTCACTAAACTTTTGTATAAAAATTACGTTTGGTTTTAACGTCGGCTGGGGTGAGGCTTGGCAAAATATTTGATATCTATATATAATATAATATGTGATATTGTTTTTCTGAGTTTTGCGACATCTTGACTCTGCGCATGTGAACTATTAGTGGAAATGACGAAACTAGTGCTCCGATTTTGATATAAACATAAACAATTTTGTTCGCTTAGGCGCTACATGAACTTGAGATACTGCCATCATCGACTATCCCTTGGGTTTAGCTATCATCAAAATCTCCCAAGAAGTTTTTAATGTAACGCGTCGGCATATTGTAAAGATTTTTTCGAATGAAATAAAGACATAGCTTAAAAGACAAGCATCCAAGCCAAAACCTTAAAATAATAATAAATAAATATGGTTTTGCTCTTTATTTTCGTACTCTAAGATGAACAGTTAATAAAGTAGATTGTGATAAATGGTCTCCGTCATTAACTATATTTTTTTCATTAATCACACAGTAAAGTAGTGATGCAATAACACTACTTTAGTCCCCATAAATACGGTCTCAATTCCTATGGGACAATTATTCTCATGTAAACTCTCGAAAAGATTTCTCTTCAGGTTAACTATGGTAGCTTATTACAAGATCTTTTTAATAATTCTAGAGCGACAAACTAACACTCGCATCTCATGGCAGGAGTATATCGCAGCCTATCATGGTTTAGATATAACAAATATAATATTAAATTGAGCACTGTCACTGTGTAAAATAAAAAATCGAAATCTTTATTTGCCTGTAAAACAGTAAATTCATACCAAAATCGGTATATGCTTAAGCAATATTTATATATTTTTTAAATTTAGTTATTGCAAATTACTTGGAGCTTGAAAGGTACTGCAACTAGAAAATTGGTGGATTCGAATTCGAAACCACTGCTACACTCCTAATCCCAGCCGGACGTTTGGCCTAGTGTGGGCATACCTTTAGTAATATTTCAATTGTATAAATTAATATTTACTACAAATATTTAATCACTTAAGCAATTCAATTTTGTTTTCAATCCAGTTTCAGTGTTATTGTTTATTGTTGATTACAGTAGTTGTGAATGTTTTGATTTTTTTAAATATTTAGTAAAGTGAAAGTCCACGTGGAAAATATTGCTATTGCTACCACAAGGAACAATTAAAAATATTTGAGGATCCCACTCTGACTCGATCCGACGTTATAAAAAAAATTGTTGTTGTAAATATTCAATGTTATGTTATTTATAATCGTTTTTAATAAATTTTATTTGTTTCTATCTTTATTTTTTAAATTCATTTTACTTTTAATTTCCGTCGCTTATTCTACACCTAATTCCATTTTTATTGTTATATTGAAAAAAAAAAATAAACATCATTATTTCTGTCGTGTATATTAGACAAATTTAGGATTTTGTGGGGTTTGAATAAAATTATGATTAAAAAATACGCGTGAGATTTACATATTGTTTTAATATAAATGGATAAAGAGCATGTCCGTTTAGTCTTGTTCAATAAATATTTAAATAAATGCATAATAATTACAATTGAAAATAATATTTATACTGGTGATTAGAAATGTCTATTATAATAATCGACATATCTAACGATTTAAATTGACTTGTTTAATAGAATTTTAAGCAATTGAGAAAGTATGAAAAAAGTGTTTAAGAATAAAATTATCAATCCAATACAAATTAAAATACATTAAACCCAAAATCATGAATATAGTGAGAAATATTTGAATAAGATATTCATGATTTTAAAAAACATTTAATAACATTTTTTAGAAGTGGGACATGCTGTATACACGTGCTTAGGCTGTCGCATTGAATTCCAGTTACCGTAGCTACATCAGATAGATATCTTGAGAATTGTATCGAGACACTGATACTCATTTAATGTAAAGAATAAAGCGTTAATAAGTCTGATGGTTGTATTATTTCTAATATAGGTACATTGTGTTTAAGATAGGGTTATATTCTCAATTCGACTTTTTTTACGTGTGTTACCTCAGAACTTTTTTATTTTCTCTGAACCGATTTTGATGATTCTTTTTTTTTGAAAGCTGGTGCTACTCATGAGGTTCCATATAAATTTAATCAAGATCTGACCCTACTGGTCAGTAAAGCTGGTGCTTCTCATGTGGTCCCATATAAATTTGATCGAGATTTGACCAGTAGTTTTTGAGTTAACCTTAATTATGCGTATTTACTTGACTTCGACTTTATTAATGATGTTCTCACTTTATTTATATTGAAGTCGGTTGTACAAAATTTCAATTTTACCACTTGTTTTTGTTATCATTACGGCTTATAAAAGTCTACAATATAACGCAAATCTGACTCCAAGACAATTTACCTTTCATAAGAATACATCAGAAGACATGCCCGATGTAAAAATGGTAGGTGTTGCTTACGTATGATACCTATTAATAAATTCTGAAAAACTCATTCACTTGTTCCTGTAGCGTATTATATCTATACAAAATTTCAATCATCATATAGGTACAGTTATGATAAATCCGTAGTAG